CACAGAGCGAAGCTCTTCTTCCCTGAGTCACTCAGCTCTGTACTTTCTGATGATGTTTGCTTGGCTTTTGTTATAAAACATAAAAATACTTCAACAGGAAATGACATTCTCTTTCCCTTCCTGCAACCCATCACTCACACACACACACCCACCCACCCACCCAGAGCCATTAGTAATCTGGTGGAGAAGAGGCTTGAACCCTTTCTTCACAGGTGAATCTGGCTCATGGACCAGAGGGGGTATATGCGGTCATGGGGGACAGACACATGCACTCTGAGCCCTCCTGGTGCTGCCCTTCCTAGCCTGCGACTCGACTCTTCTGTTTAGCCCTCTATGAGAAAGAACAGTAATGGCTACCTACAGACTTACGTGTCTGTCAGGACCGACTGCCCCAGGCTGAACCACAGTCCAAACACTGGCCCCGCCACTTCATGGGGGGTGTGATGTGAGGATGACAGGAAAGTACCACCAGGGTATCTGATGCATAATCCAAGTTAAATAATTAGCCTCTGTCATTTCTCCCTTGAAATTGTAAAGCACTCCACCAACACTCATTTCTACTATCTAAAGATGCACATAAAATAAGGCATCAGACAACAGAACACTCATCAGATGCCTTCTCAGTACCTGGTATCATATCCTTCCCCATCAAGGCCACCTGCCCTCCCCAGACAGAAGGCTCTCATCTCTGACTCTCACAGAGGCAGAGAGCCAGTATGTCCCTTCACTAGGGAGCCTCAGCCAGCTCTACTGGTTAATAACTTCACTAAAGGATATCCATCAGAAAGAGGGGGAAAAGTCCTAATTGCTCTAGTCACAGATGTCATTAGTTATGCACTGGCTCCTGTCAAGTCTGTGTGGCTCACAGCATGGGACAATGTTACCAGGCGGATAAGTATTTGACCTAAATATTTAGCTCCCTGCCATCTGCAATCCATTTCAAAGGAAATGGATCTTCAGAGAAAGTTTCTTTCTCTACATTCTGACACTTTATTTCTTTCTGATTCTCTACATTCTGACACTTTATTTGCTCAAGCTATAAAATTTTTATTTGGATTCCATGGCCATTTCAGTAAATCAAGGCTGCCTTTTCTCCCTTCCTGTTAGGTAGTAAAACAGATGTAAAGCAGTTTCTAAACTAAGTGATCCAACCACATTCCTCTTCAATCTGTTAGAAGTGAGCATCACTGATTTTTTTTTACCCTCCAATTGAAAGTCTAGGGGCTTCTTCCTAAATGAGAACACTACCATTAGAATCTTTGGTTTCATTATTAGTTAGTTTGTTTAATCTCAAGGAAATCTCTAAAAAAGGAAACCATATTGTTTTCTCTCCACGATTTTAATACAATTGCTACACATCTTAAGAGTGTGAATGACACGGTTCAATTTCTCATGTTTACAAACCCTCACAGATGGCATATGTAAGTAAGATGCACGATAGAGCTTTTTAAAAAACAGCACCTAGGATGTGATATAAAAATGTACTATGCTGTGGTTGGACAGACATAAATAAAAACTGCATGGTGTGGCTTTCTCTCTTCTGAATAGTAAACTCAGACTAACATTTGAAAATGCCTACCACATCTCATTTTTAAAAGATTTTCTGTACCTACAAAATATTTATATAAAATGACTGGAGATTTTTACAGGAAATATCTAGTTTAGATAATTTGCTATCAGAATGAGTTATGCAGAAGCACCAAGAATAAACTAATAAACCTTCACATGTAATGGAATCGGGTCTTTTCTCTAAGGACTTATCCAATTCTCTCTCTCTTTTTTTAATATAATTTTTGGGAGAACAAGTGGTAAAAGCATTTTAATGTGGTAATGATATTAGCAAAACAAAGAGTTATCTAAGAATTTTTGCCTGGGTCATTCCAAGTATTACAGAATTACCAGATAAAAGGGAACAGGTTTCTGAAGATGACTGAAGTTGGTATAGAAATTCTTCACGCATAGAGAAAGGGTGTAAAACTTACTATTTCTAAACCAAAAATGCCATAATTTGTATAAACCTTTATACCCAAAGAATTTAAATCTCAGAAATAGGAAATGACCATGGAACCCTCACTTGTGAGCCATCACAGTCAGACCACTGTCTCTGAAGTCTCATTTGATGCTAACATCACACTAAAGTACAGTTATCTCATCACTAATTTTCTAGCTAAAAAGTCTGTCTAAATAAAATTATACTATTAAAAAACTAGCTTAAGGCTAGGTTTGTTGTGAATTGAAGTATTTTTTCCCTATTCCAACACTTAGTTAAATATGATAGCAATGTAGCAAAAGCCCTTATCTTTTAAGCATTTTGTAAATCTAATGGTAAGAATGGCAGCCCAGACTGTTTTTCCTTTTCTGACAATGTCTGATTTCTTCCCAGACATTAACTACAAGGACCACAGTCCACTGTGGTGTCAGCAGGACATCATTATGACAGGCTTCCAGGTTTCCAGCAGAGGAAACATGTGTCAACTCCTGTCGTCAGCAGGTGAGCAAAAGGCACCGCCAGGTAGAATCAGAAGCAAGCACATCTTCAAAACAGGTGTTACTGTTGACATAACCATTAAACATCTGGCTCTCCATAGCTTCCAGAACAACAGGTATTTTCTCATTTTAATTTTTTTTTTTTTTTTAAAGATTTTATTTTTTCCTTTTTCTCCCCAAAGCCCCCCGGTACATAGTTGTGTGTTCTTCGTTGTGGGTTCTTCTAGTTGTGGCATGTGGGACGCTGCCTCAGCGTGGTCTGATGAGCAGTGCCATGTCCGCGCCCAGGATTCGAACTAACGAAACACTGGGCCGCCTGCAGCGGAGCGCGCGAACTTAACCACTCGGCCACGGGGCCAGCCCCTCATTTTAATTTTTAATACAAATTTCTATATTCCACAAAAAGCTGTACTCCTGGGAGAATTTCCACAATAATATGAAATCTGTGAGTTGTGTCTCTTAGTATGACACCAAAGCTCCCTCTCCCGTTCTTGGAGAGCGACTAGGAGAAGAAGGACTCACTGACTAGACTTGGAAGCCACAGAAGTGATGAATATGGTGGGTGGCCTTGGCTCTCCCTCAATGGAGGCACAGAGGTGGGGGGAAGTGAAACAAGCCTAGAGAGGGCTACTCTTTGGTTCCTACGAATGCACAGCGGCCAAATCTATGTCAAAGGATAAGGCAAACTGTACATTCCAGAATCAAGGAGCGTTAAAGACGAATGAGATCTTAAAGAGCAGCTAACTCAGGGATTCTCGATGTTCACTGTATATAAGAATATTCCTAGACCCACCCACTGAGACAGTAAGTGAGCAAGAATGGGGCCGTCTTGCTACACTAAATGGCCCCAGCCCCTCCTCTGTGTGAGTACTCGCTGCTCTGCAGGTACTCTAAGAAATTCACATGCTCTCCTGATTTACGGCCTCAGCTTACACATGTGCTCCCCAATAGCTTGATAAATTAAAACTTTGTTCTATGAGTTTCTCTCCAGGAACAGGCTGACCACAGGCGGCAAACATACCCACAAGGTATCCATCACAGCTGGCAGAAGAAGGGTACAATAAAAGACCCTGGAGTCCATCATGCCTGAAGGAAACCCCCTCCTTACTGCCCATTTCCCTATAGAACTGCCTCAAGATTCCGTAATCCTTGAAGATGGGTTTTTGAGACATTAGTCGGCCATCTTCCAGATTGTGCTGCTTGATCTGACTAAACTTCCCATCTCCATCCCTAGCTCCTGATTGACTGGCTCCGATGGTGGGGAGCAGAGCAAGCCTACTGCTCAGTTATCAATTCGAGGGCTCAGCAGCAGCAGGAGGCACTGGCAGGAGGAGGAATAATATGAATACTTCTACAGCACTAGCTCTGTGCCAGATGCTGTGCCAAGTTCTTTACAAATATCACCTTATCTGGTCCTCACAACAATCCTATTGGGTAGGTGCTACAGAGACGAGGACACCAAGGCACGGAGTGGCTAAGGAATCATCCAAGGACATCCAACGAGGAAGAGAATAAGGATCCCATCCCAGACAGGCTGGCTTCAGAGTCTGAGCTCTTAATCATGACACTAAATTACCCACCAACAGGGCTCGGGTGAGGCCCAGGGCTTTAAGAAAGCGTCATGACTGAAGTCGATCTTTCCTCTTATGGATGAAGAAATTGAAACCTAGAGAAGTGAAGTCTCTTATCCAAGACAAAAATCCTTCATGGTATTTCCAGGAAGAAAGCAACCATTATCTGTCACCAACTATCCTTAAACGTTTCTCTACACACGCTCCTCTAGGGAAGAAATGGACAGACGGCATTACTAAAAGCCAGCTCATTGGTTCCAGCTGTGTTACTCTGACCAAGACGCTGGTTTGGGGCAAAGATTTCCATCCTTTTCTGTTCACTCACAGGATACAACACACTCCAGAGTCAGCACAAGGGGCTTCTGATCATGGTGCTTCTCAAGGGAGGGAAAGGAAAAGGGGAGGGAGAGATGCCATCCCCAAAAGGGAGATGGTAATTGGAACGTGGGAGATAAGGTTCACATAATTTGTGGATGGAAAAAAAAAGATGTGATTCTGATATGGCTCCCAAGGATGGTCTTCCTTTCCTTAAACGGACTATTGTAAAACCTTAGTATATGTCAAAACATCATTAGGTCTTTGCTTTGTTTTGACATACACAGGCAGGCAGAATACCCAGAATGATCAGATCTACCCCAAGTTAGAACTACTCACATACATTCAAAAAGTGATAAATGCATTTCCTAGCAACATTTCATATGCAGGATCAGGCCCAAAATATTATGGATGTATTGATATTATAGCTTTTTACTTACTTGTCATTTCTGTTCAACAATCAAGGTAATTCTGGGGGACCAAAAGCCAGGATAATAACCATGTATTCCAAATCACGGGTGAGCTAGCATGATCACAATGCAGAGGCATTTTCGAGATAATAGTGAGGGCTGGGGTAAGAGTCTGCTCCTGTCCCAATGATGCAAACTGTAGCCACGTCACACAAACCTTCATGACCTCCACCTGCAGGTCTTCGTTGAGGGAAGGTGTCACTTTCACAGCATTCAGGATCTGATTGAGCAGCTGCTTCTCATCAGAGTCCGTCTCCATGGATACAAACCTCTCTTCTGACAGGAGCTTCTGTAGGAGGCACAGGGCAGTGATCAGAGAGAGGTTCCTCGCTGCCTTACTCTGCTGCTCCCTTAGTATGCGCGTTAAGGATAATTTTTCTTACTCAGGAGCCATCTAGTGAGGCCATTAGGCAAGAATTCATGCTCTGTGCCATTGAAAAGAAAAACGCATCAAACTTTTGGTAAATGGTTTTTGGCAAAGACTTTTTCCTGCTATTAGACAATCCATGCTAAATTTTATCAACCGAGATTCTAATGGGGTGGCCATAGAGGTTATGTGGTTGGTGAGGACAGAGGATGATGTGGCCAGGGGAATCTGGCCCCTCAACAGTCACATCACACAGAGCCTTCCTTAAGGCAGCTTTGTCACAGGAAATGAGGAGGTCTTGTGGATAAGTGCATTTCTCAGATATTTATCTCTTTCCTACTGTGAGCTGTCATTTACCCAGAATTATTCATGAATCCACAAATCTTACGGTATTCTCATCAAATAATGAATCCCACAAAAACCTAAATAAGAAGACACTCACTTTCATGAGGTTTGCCAGGTGTCATTACACCTCCCAGGACAGCCTTTTTCTATTTCAGGACAACTCCTCTTCATAAAACCCCTTGTTAGATGGTACCAAAACCCACCTGCCTACAACTTTGGCTCCCTCATCCTTCCCTGGAGCCACAGGGATTAAGCTTCTAAAATATCTGAAGTCAGCTATGAAGTCCCCCTTAGCCCTTCCTTCTCCAGACTAAACCTTCTCGGGTGCCTTCAAGCGCTCTTGGCATGATGTGGTTCCAGACGCTCTCCTGCTGAACATGTGGCCTCCAGGGCAGTGTAACACTTCAAGGTGGTCTGACAGTAAAGAGTAAGGCAGCCAGGAGGATACCTGAGATAACTGTGGACTGTGGACAATTATAATGGGTCAGTGTAGGCTCATCCTTGGTGAAAAACAAAAAAAACAAAAAACGACAAAAGTACCATTCTGGTGAGTGATGTTTGGTGATGGGGAGGCTCTGTGTGTGTTGGGTGGGGACATATGGGACAATCTGTGCACCTTCCTCTCAATTTTATTGTAAACCTAAAACTTCTCTAAAATAATGAAGTCTTTACAAATAACAAAAAGTAAAAAGATGGCGGGGGGGAAAGAAATGGGGTCTTTGGTGGCACCACTGACCTGCTGTAAGCCTGGAAGTGCCCACCTCTAGAATTCTAGTTTTGTAAGAAAACTAAATGTGTTTATTACCTAAAAACAAAAAAATAGTTGTGCATAACTTTAACCACATTCTCAGACCAAATGGGCTTAGTTGTAAGTCACAGCACCTTCTGTGCTGACTCGCCCTGAAACCCCTAACTCTCATTCACAAGGGCCGCACTTAAGCTGTCCTCCTGCATCTGTCCTGGGGCAGCTGGTTTTGAGACCTGGTAAATTTGTCCTTGTCCAATTCAGTATAGAGCTGCAGATGTGAAGAACTTTTGGAATTCTGATTCATCCATCCTTTAGCTCAAGGCCACTGCAGATGCGGAAAACAAGTATTTCAAACCCTTCTTAGGACTCCCTGAAATTTTGTCTATAGTCTCCCCAAAGCAATTTTTCACTATCACATAGTGCTTGCAGGGCAGCCCAGACTTAAAGTTTATATACAAACCTGATTTACTTAAAGTGATAAAGATTGGGAAGCCTTCAAAAAGCACCTAAAACTAGTGGGGGGCAACGAGGGATGGTAAGAGGAGATGCCCTGCCCGCCAGTCACTGAAGTCACCGTGATTGAGTGGGCTCTGGGAAACAGGGTACTGTAACTTAGAGTGTTTGAGGTTAAAAAAAAGTAACTAATGGAAAATATATACAATACTAGAGAAAAAGAACACAGTGGCAGCTCAAAATCAACTTCCATGCATTTTTATGTTTGGCCCAATTACTGTGGAGAAAGGCAAAGAGTTTTTAATGATATTGACAGTGTTAAAAAATTTCTAATGCTATTGCATATTAATACATATATTATCTAATTCCAATCCACTGGAGGAAAAAGAGGTGGAATTTTCTCACTCTTTCACATATATTAACTCTTAAAAGTTACAGCAGTTCCCCCTTATCCACGGTTTCAGTTACCTGCAGTCAACCATGTTCTGAATATATTAAATAGAAAATTCCATAAATAAACAATTCATAAGTTTTAAATCGTACGTCATTCTGATAGTGTGATGAAATCTTGCACCCTCCCACTCAGGATGTGAATCATCCCTTGTCCAGCAGACCCCGTGCCTGTGGCCTGTCGATTTCTGCCTCCCGCGCACTCAGTGACAGCCGTACCTGTATCCCTGCCAAGGCGTGCTGGGCCAGCTTTGCATTCCTGGATTCCAAAGCCAGCTGGAAAGGCAGCAGGCACTTCTCCCTGGAAACACAGAAATAAGGGGATGGCGGGAGCTCAGCAGAGCTGGCTCTCAAGTGACACAAGCTTATGTGCACCCACCCCCCAATTCTGCCAAACACACACACAAAGGCTATAACCAGTCATGAAAATGCACATTGACTTAAAAAACACAGCAAAAAAGCTGGGCAGAAATGAGGGCATGTCAGTAGCTGGTCTTCTCAGTATGGCTACAGGGAGGGCACACAAGGTCTCTCAAATAACTGCACTAATTATCACACGGGGGGACCCCCAGACCATGAGTATGCCTCGCTCCTTCCCAAATTAACAGAATTGCCTGTGCCCCGTGCACGTGGGGTGAAGGACTCTAGGAAGTACCACGTATCTAGGTCTTGACGCCTTGCTCGTACCTCTATCCCACCATGACGCAGCCTCATCAGTCAGCTTTCAGTCGATAGCTGAAATGCTATCGACTTGTCAATTTCTCTGCAACTCAAAGTGTTCAATAATCACTTATAATTTTTAAACTTGGTCTTTAGTCTCCAGTAAGAGGTATATCTGGACTTTGTGATGGGTTCTTAACAAACACACTTCCAAAACAGAAATACAAATGAACCTTCAGTAGCTTTGACCAATGAGAAGGACCTGCTGTCATGGGAGAGACAAAAAAATCCAGAGAGTTACTGAGCGCTAAAACATGTTAGGGAGAAACCAAAAGGGCTACAAAGGAAAACATCTCTTTCTGTTAGAAGCTTTTCCTCTAAATAATTAAACAAGAGACCCACAAGTTTAATCAAACCATGACTTCCCTATGGAACCCCACTGGCACAACAAACGAAATGCTGCTTAATTTCTGCAGGTTACTCCACCCCCACTGAACCCAGAGCAGCCTCATTTTTACCTGTTTTATATTTTCAGCATGAACTGAAAGAGTCATTGACTTTAGAGAGTGTGAAAGCCACAGGGTAAGACTACAGGATTCCGTCTTATGAGAAAGAAGGGTTGCTGCCGTCGACAAGAAGACAGAAAGTTAATCACAGGGCTGGCTCCTTGCTGCCCACCTGCAGCTCTGCTGCTCCTCCATGGAATTCTCCACCCGCAGCTCCATGGCACAACGGAAGAGTCAAAGACACTCCCTGCTGCCAGCCACAGAGACAGAACAAGAACGCACTCTATCAGAAAGGACACTTGCCTTCCTAATCCTTCCCATGTCTCCTCTCACTACCCAAAGTTACAATATCCACTTCGATATGACAAGCGATTACACTACAGCCATTTTCATTAGATCCATCCTTTGACAGATGGATAAATTACCCAAGGGTGTTACTTCCAGTTGGGTGGCTACAATTTTGTTGCTGTATCATTGTCAGCTTGTCACAGTAACAAGGCAAACAATGCTATGCAGTCAATTAAAGCAGAAATAGCTGGTTTTTCCAATTTTGTTTCTTTCGCTTAATCATAAGCAGTTTATAAGCATGGGAACATTAACTGGAAGGGTGGAAGTCCAATGAGAAGTGGGAATAATGGGCAGAGGGAGTATTAACAGAAGAATCACAGAACTTCACCTGTAAACCCTTGAAACATCAAAGTTGCATCGGGACTAATTTGCTGGGAAAGATGTGCATCTAGACTTTGGAGCCAGATCTGCCAATGAGGGCACAGTACCAGTGAGCACATGTGGAGGTCTGCAACTCTCATGGTCCTGCAGCCTGGAGCAGGAGAAGTCTCTGCGGAGTGGCTAGCATGCTGAAAACACACAAGTATTACCCATGACTCCCCAGGGGAACCACGCAGAGTGGATGGCATGTTCAGCAGCAACAAGGACGCCCTGGAAATGCCAACCCTGCTGAGCCCTGGGAGGCAGCATGATGTCTGCATAAACAGCTGCATACCACATTACTGCCATCTGCAGCCAGCCCTTGAAATCCTCATTCCACTCACTCCCTGACTTACACATTCACATGACTTATCCTACAGACTGAGCCAGGCTATGGACAAATGCCAGGACCGCCAGGGTGTGCCACAATTCCAGGGGATATCACTGAACTGCTCCCTGTGCTGGTGATGGCCACCAGACAGGACTGGAAGACGTCATCGGTTCAGCCAGGTTTTGCTCAAGCTGAAAGGTGTCAGCATCCAGTGGAAAGAACATGGGCTGTGGAATCCCATAGACCTGGACTCAAACCCCAACCATCTGTAAGCTGTGCAATCACCACCGAGACACTGAGCTCTGTCGAGTCTTAGCTTCCCAAGCCACACAAAGGGCATCTTGAGGCCAATCATACAGGGTTACAGTAAGGAGTACAGATAATACATATCAGGAGTAGGCAAATTTTTTCCATAAGAGGCAGAGGATAGGGCTGGCCCCGTGGCCAAGTGGTTAAGTTCGCGTGCTCCGCTGCGGCGGCCCAGGGTTTCGCTGGTTCAGATCCTGGGTGCGGACGTGGCACCGCTCGTCAGGCCACGTTGAGGCGGCATCCCACATGCCATAACTAGAAGGACCTGCAACTAAGATATACAACTATGTGCTGGGGGGATTTGGAGAGATAAAGCAGGAAAAAAAAAAAAGATTGGCAACAGTTGTTAGCTCAGGTGCCAATCTTTAAAAAAAAAAAAAAAAGAGGCAGATGATAAATATTTTAGGCTTTGCAATCCATATGGTCTTTGTCCTAACTACTAAACTCTGCCGTAGCACAAAAGCAGTCAGACAATATGTAAATCAACAAGCATGGCTATGTTCCAATAAAACTTTATTTACACAAACAGGCAACAGGCCAGATTTGGCCCACAGGCTGAGTTTGCCCAGCCCTGATGCCGACAAAGGCCCAGCACAGCCCACAATTTTCAGCACAGGATAAGCAGACCTAATCTTGTCACAATATCCAGAAAGACTGTGCACAGGTCCCAGGCTAACCGTCCTGGGAGGTGGTCAGCCCTTAGCAAAGCCAGCTGCAGCACCAAGAACTTCTCACAAAATAAGTGCTTTGAGGAAGCAGACTGAGAGGTTTCATCTGGGCCCCAGACAAGGCATCCCATGCATCCATCCAACCATCCATTCAGCCAACATTTGAGGACCTACTGTGTTCAGGGCCCCACAATGGGTGCTTAGGAAGATCCAGCAAGGAAAAGACAGGACAGACACTGGTTTCATTTTGTTCACAGGATGAAAGAGAAAAAAAGAAAGTTAGTACTTATTATTTCCCTGTTTAGTCTACCTGTCACTTCAACCTTAAATTAGCATTCTTACCCTTGTTTTACATTTGAGAAAATGGGGGTCCAGAGAGGTTTCACAGCCTGCCAAGGCCACACAGCTAAAATCCACTGGAGACAATTCAAACCCAAATCCATCTGATTCCCAGGATCAAATTCCTTCCAACAATCTGGTCTCAAAAGATCAGAGCAAAGGTAGAATAGATCTGTTTCTTAACCTTTCTTAGATCATGAACACAAAAAATCTGGCAAAAGACCCTCTTCCTAGGGGAGTGCGTGAATCACTTGATGGGAATCACAGAATTCCACCCCCCCCCCCCCGCCACCCCCATCAAACGCCAAAGCCACATGGATCCCAAGCTAAGAGCCCCTGCCCTCAGGAGAAAGAGCCTGCATCAGAGAAGAGGGCCATGTTCCCTGGCTCACTTAGGGTTCCACCAGGATGGGCTCTGAAGTGAGGTGACACAGAGCCCTGGGGCAGAGGTAGCTTCCTGTGTGTGTGTGTGTGTGTGTGTGTGTGTGTGTGGAGGATCACTAACTCTCCTCAGGGTCCAGGCCTCTCATCCCCTCAGACCCAGCAGCCCCCTAGGTTAGTGTCACAAGCCTCAGATCCTGACTCTGATGGGAAATAAACACGTGGGAAATGAATGAAGCTCACGGGCACAACCAATTTTGCTGCTTGCTCTGTGATATCATAAAAACCCTGCTGCCTGAAGTTTTTTAAAAGTGATTTTAATAAGGGAGAATAACAGGTTTTAATTGGGTCTCAGACTAACATTTATAATGAAGATGCACGTGGCACACACTCAGTCCCCTTTGCACATCCTGTATTGGAATAAATCACTTTTTGATCTTTCTAGATGCTGCCTCATTGGGAAAAGGGCATACGAAAACCCAACATTCAATTACATTAAGCAATTATTTTTTATGCACAGGCATGTGCAAATTCACTCTTGCCTAATTAAATAAAGGCAGTGGCCCCAGGTTTCAGGTCCTGACACGCCATCACTTCTTAAAGAAGAATTAGCAGAGCCGAATCTGCATGAGGAAAACATCCGTGACAGTGTGTCTGTTCACGGCAAGGAGACGGAGCCTGTTTCCTTAACAGCACTGTCACAGTTCACAAACCAGCCTTATTGGGCTGGCAGATAACAACGGACAAAGGGAAATGAAAACAGGCAAATAGGGGAAGAGGTAGGATTTACCAAAAATTACTTTTCAGCAGGAGCTCAAGTAAAACCTGGATGTTAGGCTGATTCCTCTTTGATGCCCTGCACAGGAAGGGGCACAAAGATACTTCAGATTTCTAAGGTCTGCTTACACTCTGCAGTTCTAGGATTCTACAATCCAAGCCATTTATTCAATGACTGTCTGGATTCCATCACATAATAACCAGGGCTCTGGTTGTAAATCACTGGCCTGTATGTGCCAAGTACCACACTACAGACGTGTGTACTTACTACCTTACTTAATTGTAACTTTTGAAAGCAGGGATTTAATTATCAACAAAACCAACTAAGAGAGATTAATTCACCTGTCTAACACCCATGTTTGTAAATGACAGAGCTGTGATTTAAACCCAGACCATCAGCCTTCAATCCTACATTCTCAGGCCTCCACGAGGACGCCTGTGCCCACAGACAGCCTCCGCCGACCACGGCCTGTGGCACACTGCTTAAAACAGCAATCAAATGTCTACCAGGTAAGAAGAGGCAGGACAGACATCAAACAAGGAATGAAAATTATCTTATTTTGAGTGGCTGTGTTATTGAACCCAAAGTGGGTTCCCTCCTGGGGAGTTAAATCAGACTCTA